CACCAATGTGACTCACTTGACTCCCTCTGTGCTATTCTACCTAACTATCACTTCTCGTTTGGCAGTGCTCATGTTTGGACATTTAGTTTGTGCTCTTTTCAAGAGTTTTGAATCTTTGTATCGAGTTGCTGATATCAAGTTTACTATTTCTTATTCAGTAGTACTAATTTGTAACTTCTTCCGAAATGGAATTGTTTTATATTTCTACCCAGTTAGAGAACTTGGTCATTAATTATAAACTTTTTCGTACTGTTTACAAACACAGTTGTGTTTGATTATTCCTTTGGAATAATGAATTCTGAAGTTCAAGTTACCACTTTGGAGGTTATACCTGCTACAAGCACATTTACACAGGCTTCAGGTGGGGGGGACCTTGACTACGGAATTTCAGCAGTTATTCATTGAGATATTGATTGTTATTTGAACCATACTTCTTCTCCTGATGTTGCCCATTTTCCTCCAGAACATGCCAAACCTGTTTGGGACAATGAAGTTTTTGACAACCTTTTTCCTCTACCTGAATTTGCCGTGTCTTCCACAATTCATACTGTGGGAACAACTAGGCCTCATATGGCTTTTGTGGACATGATTTCACAGGTTTGTTCCATTTCATCCCATTCCCCGATTTCCTATAATCTTCTCCCTTTCTTGTTACATGATTTTCCTTCCTCTCAGTATTTTGTGTTTCCTCCTTCCATTGATGTTGGGGTTCATAATGAACATTTTGTATTTAAGTTCCATGAGTGCACTAGCATGCCTCACCATCTGCAGGTTTCTAATGAGTTTGTTTTAGCGTACCATTAGGCTGATTTTCCATTCCTTGATTCTCAGCTCCTAGAATAAATTTTACCCATTTAAGGGTGGACCCTGATTATCTTATTTGTTTATCCCATGTCCATTTTCTTACTTTCATCTTACCCTCGTGTCTATCCTACAGCTCTTGTCCTCACTTCTTACCAGGTCCTATTTTTTGGGGGTGGGGGGATTTTTGTCTTCTATGGCAGCACTTATCCCCATGGGTTATATTCATATGAGATCTCTTCAATAGACTCTCTACAACCAGTGGAACTTTGCATGGGATCCCTTGGATGTTCCTATTACTCTTCCTCCTACCCTAATAGATGACCTGAATTGGTGGTTGGAAAAGGCTCACTCTTCATCAGATGTTCTGCTTCCTCCCCCTCTTCTGGATTTATATATTTTTATGGGTGCTTTTCTTCATGAGTGGGGGAGTGTAGGTCGAGCAACAAGTAGCTACAGGTCAATGGTCTTTGATTGAGAGCTCTTATTGTATCAATATCCTGAAGCTTCTCACCTTATATCAGATTTTGGATCATTTTCTTCATATTGCCAGCAATTGTCTGGTTATGATCCATTCTGACAATTCTATGGTGGTGGCATACATCAATCACCAGGGAGGCACTCGTTCTCATTCCCTATGTGATCAAACGTTGGATCTCCTTTTTTGGGCTCTCATGTATGGTATTAATCTCCTTGTGTGTCATGTACTTGGTGCTTTTAAACATGTTACAGATCATTTTTCCTATCTGGACAAAATTTATTTGACGGAGTGCTCTATAGATCCTCAAGTTACCTCTGTTTTGGTCTTTGGTACCTTATTCACTTGCACTGGCTGTCAGTGCATTCAGTCAAGATTGTACAGACAAATTCCTTTATGTGTATCCTCCCATCTGAATTCTTTCCAGGGTGATTTCTATCATCCACACCACTCATGTATGGTATTCATCTCCTTGTGTGTCATGTACTTGGTGCTTTCAACCATGTTACAGATCATCTTTCCTATCTAGACAACATTTAATCGACAGAGTGCTCTATAGATCCTCAAGTTTTCCAGTGGTTATGCAATTAGTGGAGTACTCCACACTTGGATGCATTTGCCACAATCTTCACAACCAAGTCACCTCTGTTTTGGTCTCTGGTATCTTATTCACTTGCACTGGCTGTCAGTGTATTCAGTCAAGATTGAACAGACAAATTCCTTTATGTGTATCCTCCCATTTGAATTCTTTCCAGGATGATTTTTGTCATCCACACCGCTCGATGTCAAGTCCCTCTGATTGCCCCTAACTGGCCAACCCAACCTTGGTTTCTGAGACTGTTCCAGATCCAATTTGCTCCACCATTGCCTCTTCCCATGACTTCATCCCTTCTACGGCAACCTCAGTCCAGGTAGTTCATCTAGCCCTTCCTACCCATTGCCTTCATGCCTGGTTTTTATATGGTTCTTGGCAAAGAGATCCAGTTTGTCATGGTGAGTAGCTTCATTGTTGGCATATTTGTTCTTCTTCCATGGAGGTTTATAAATATAAGTGGAATGTTTTCTGCCATTGGTCTTTGGATTGGGGGGTTACCTCTGCTCATCCCACTGTTCTTATTATTACGGATTTCCTCACTCAGTCATTTGATCAAGGGACTTCTATCTCCTTGATCACAGGTTATCAGGTTGCCTTATCTCACAATTTTTGTTTTTTTCAGTACTCTAAAGTTTTTACCTCTCGTACCTTATCACTCTTGTCATGTTTCTTCTGGATTAGTCAACCTCCAAGGTGTGTGGTCCTTTCAGATTGAGATGTCAATATGGTGCTGCACTGCATTATTTTACCTCTTTTTGAACCTTTGTCATCTTGTTCCATGTTTCCTTTACCCCTTAAGGCACATTTCCTTCTCCTTTTGGCCTGTGGACGTCATTGTTCGGATTTGTTTACCATCGACATTTCACAAACTCTGTACCAATCCTCTTATATTCTCCTTTACATGGATCAATCTTTCCTTCCCAAAAGTTTGGTGGTGCAGGAGGGTAATTCCTCCTTCTCGCTGATTTCCCTACCTTCCATTTCACATCTCTATTCCTGATCTGATCCAGATAGACTTCTATGTATTGTTTGTGCTCTTCGTTGTTATATTGCCCACATGGCTTCCTTTTGTAATAACCATTCCCACCTTTTCATTCCCTGGCAGCTATCCTCTGTTTGTGGTCTCTCTTCTTCCACCCTTACCAATTGGTTTGGATTTTAATTTGATTAGCTTATTCTTCCTTGTCTCCTTCTTCCCTTAATTTGTTCCAGGTATCTTCCCATCAGATTAGGCACCTTACTTTTTCCCTGGCATCTCATCTTTGTCATCCTTTGGAGGAAATTCTTCAAGTAGGCATGTGAACCACTCAGCATATTTTCATCTCTTACTATCTGCATCCTGTTGGGTTATCGTCTTCCGTCTGTTGCCATTTCTTCAGACTTTGGTGTGATTGTAACTGGGTAAGTTTTCTTTCTTTTATTATATATATATTATTTTCAGGGGCCTGTCCCATGTTTTTACCAGGATCCCACTCTCTGATGAGTGGTGCCCGTCCAGGTACACTTCAATCTCTTACAATTATACAAACCAAACCTATGCTGTACAGCCATGTTGACTTAACTTTCACAATTTCCATGGCCACATAATACTTGTTGTTCATTCCAATCATATAAACTAGAGATGGGATGTTCCACAAGATTGCTTGTAGGTTATTCCCCTTGATATATTTGCTTTATGAATATGCCTGTTCTGAACCATACTAACTCATGCACTTCATGAATAAAGCAGTAGGAGATTGCTGCCCATCCCTGCCATACCTTAGATTGAATAAATCATGTTTGGTCTGCTTTTCAAAATAGGGTTTTGTGGTCATCCAGTGCATTGCATTGTCTCTGGTGTGAACATTCCTTCAGACTCTCCACTGCATTTTTCTCCCCTCACTTCTTCTAGTGGAGTATGAGAGTCCTTACTACTTTCCAGTTCCAAACTGCTATGGTGGTGGACCATGGAGGTATATCCTCCTGAATGAGAAATATACAATGAAAACAATAGACTCCATTCAGTTGAGAGTAGGGCAGTGGTCATCTACTGGTGTAGATGACAAGATGTCCTGCGAGTTTTTCCGAGGGGATGTTCTAGCTTTGGAGTGAGTTGTCATAATGATTGAGATCCCTCATCCTAACTTCACATGGAAGTTGGTTCTCGGTGGTTGAGCTTTGGATTTAGAACTGAAACAATCACCCTATTGCCCACACTCATGTTGTGATGATTTTTATCCCTCATCCTACCCCCATATGGATGTTGGTTTGTGGCAGTTGAGTTTTGGATTGTAGTTGACTTACTGATGGTATGATCTTTGTCCTACCCTTGCATGGATGTTGGTTCCCGGTGGTCAAGTTTTGGATGGAGTTGACTTGTTGTGTACGGTCCATTGTGCCCTAGCTACTCTACACCTTGAGGCATTACCCTTAATTTAACCACATTCTGTTCATAAGGGAGATTGAAATTATTACATGGTGTGGTTCAAATCACTGTCTAACCTGTGTTCTCTCCTATTGGGATGTGCTCCTTACAATTTTCCACCCAGATCTGTGATATATTTTTTCCGTGTCTAGGCGAAGAATTTATCTGGTACAGAAGTGATGAAGTCTCCCACATATATTCTTCTTATTAGAGGGTTCCTTCATTAGGGTGTCCTTCTGATGCTTTCAAAGGATGCTTCTATTTTCTCCAATATGTTGGTTCCTCCACCTATTCAGTGTGGGATTCTCACAACTTATGTGAGCAGATTAAGGTACCATGTCAGAAGTTATGATTTTCCTTACTTCCGTTCACACTTCCAACTCTTCCTCCCCATTGTCAACTGGAACTTCAGTTTCTGCCTAAACTTGAAGTGATAGTTAGGTAGAATAGTATAGATGGTGTCACATGAGTCAAGTAGGTGTGTGGCACTTGTATTGGTGGAGGTTTGTTGCATGATAGTTTGCATGCAAGAATCAGTTAAACCATGTGAATCGAGGGGAGTGTGGGACTGAAAGACTTGTAGCATGAGAAAAAAAATTTTGCAAATAGAGGGCAGCACTCAATGAAAATAGCTATGTATGTGAGTAGAAGTAAGTGCCTGTCGGAAATAAATTTTCACTATAGGAAAAGTATAACTTATATTTATTTCTTTTCTTTATTAGGTAGGAACCATGTCAAAAGTGGAGACGCTAACAGACATAGGAGATGTCTCTGTAAGTAACCATCATACTCCTCATTCGCCTGATGCTACCAAATTTCTTAACAGCCCAATAACTTTAGACTTTGATCCTTTGAGTTTTGAGTTCAAAGAATCTAATTCTGAAAGTATCATTACCAGTGGGCTTGAGGGTGATGAAGCAGATCAGCAGATTGAAAATGATGAAATAGATTTTTTGTCCTTGAAAAATCATGATAAAGTCAGTTTAAACACACAAAATTCAACATCTGAGTTACAAAACAGATCACACATATCAGGTAAAAAATATGTAGGAGATTCTTTACTTAGAGACAGAGAGGATTCTGAATCATCAAGTGATGAACAACAAACCCCTAGCGATGGGTCAGGTTCTGAGTCTGATATAGATTCTTCAGATACACATTCAGATGTTAATGAAAGCAAAACTGTTAAAGAATATGTAAATTCTATTGCAAATCCAGAACAAAGAGTTACAGCACCAGAAACTGCTCATATATATCATCTTCCAACTCCAGAAAATGATGTTAAATCATTCACCAAAAGTGAAAACATAATTTATACTCAGGAAGATGTATCTCCAATCACAACAGTTTTAACCACAACCTCTAAAACTGATACTTGTACAGGTGATGATGGTTATCTCATACAGGCCACTGGTAATTACTCATATACTTATGATGACTATGAAAGTGAGGAACATAAAGTAATAGACTTGCTAGAAAATAGTATTAGTGAAGAACATGACTCATTAATAGATTTTGTTACTGAATCAAATTTACAAGAACACAGAAATCGAAGTGTAGGAGAAGAATGGATAAATGAAAATCATGAGTTAGAGCATGCAAACAAAACAAATGATAAATTCTTGTTTAAAAAAATAGAAGATAAAGAACATGATTTGTATCAAAATCCAAGTAATAAGCATGACTTATTTCAAACAAATGTAATTGTAGAGCATGTTGTTACCCCAAGGGAATTGGAGTTTGAGTGTGATTTCATGCCAATTGGAACAGAAACTAAGCATGATATAACCCCTGTTAATGCAAAAGTGGAATATGATGCAATCTCAGGTGAAGTAGATATTGAGCAAGATGTAACCCCAAGAAATAAGGCAATTATGAAGCAAGAGCAGTTGTTTCCTGATGCTATCGAAGCAGAGCAAGTCGCAACCCCCTATATGGAGCATGGAAAAAGCAAACTGGAGGAGCATGTTGTGCATGAAGAGCATGTGGTGTCTTATTCCTCTGACTCAGATGTAAGTCTGTGTATGTAGAAATTAACATAGCTTTTTGTATTTCAGATCTTTTTACCAAATATTTATAAATGCACGTATAAAGTTTTTCAATTAGACACATTCTTATTTTTGGATTATTTAATAATGATTTTGCCAAGCTTATATTAAATGATGGTGACATTAAACCAAAACAGTTTTTAAAATACTAAAACCATAGAGACATAGAAATTGTACACCAAATTATCAGGTTTAATCTGGATATGTTTTGCAGACCACTTTTTCCTTCCAAAGACTTGGACTGTTAGGAAGGGTGTGTGGAAAACCCACCCTTCAGTTTCTTCTCTGTATGATCATTCACATGCTATTCTTCTCCTTTGTCCTGTGCAGGCAGTGTGATGTTAACTTCACTACCTTTAGAGCCAATTGAAATAGTCTTTTTTTTGCTGTAGAGTTTCTTTTGCATCTCATGTTTTTTTCATCTTCTTCTTTGATTAGGTGGATTAAGCAATTCATCTGGCTGATTTCTTCCTCGCAAAATCTTTTCTGTAGTAGTGCTGAGGTGCTAGCTATTTGTTCTGTGGGTAGGTAAATATCTACCTCGGATACACTTTCAGCAAGGAAATATGTTAATGGTCAGTGTTTTCAGTTAGAACAAAACATCACATCTTAAAGAGTGAAATCTGTTACTGCTGCATACTTACATCACAGCTCCATAGTTGTTTACTGTCACCATATCTTGGCAACAAAAAATTTAAATTTTATCAGCTTGTTTCTTATTGTCATCTAACTTTAAAGCTTTTAATGTCTATATAAATGCAATGCTTTATAATCTTATTTTTTAAAATTTTTTGTTAAGTTTTTATTTTTTTATATTCAGGCATGATTTTGCATTTAAATTAGTAGTCTGCTCACATTAACTGTTAAAGTATCTTCAGATGGATTGACTTGACTACCCTGTATGTCAGTGTGTTTTAGTACGTTTCAGCAGATTTGAATGTTTGTTTTACAAATTTTTTTATGTGTAGAAGGTATATTTTGGGCTAGAAATAATGATTGTTTATATTATATACTGTGCATGTATCCAGTAATCTGTCAGTTTTTTTTTTTATCTGAATGATATATGTATGTGTAGATATGGTATTGTACTACTTTGATGGTTGAAAGCTTTTCATGAAAAATAACAGTGACTGATCTTATCAGTCAGTATGTGCTTTGGCAAGATTGAGTTAGAAATGCATATATCATAAATCTAATTATTTATATTTTTAAGAAAATGTGTGTTATAAATCCAGTCTTGTTTATTTTCATCTTGGTCAGCACACTTTTTTTTATATTATTGTATAATGTAACTTAGTAAGAAACATACACAACTGTTAAGTGGTAGTTATATGCTGATTTCAGTTGGTTTCTTTTTAGGCAATTATACATGCACTTGTGTCTAAAAGTATAATGTATATGTATAAAGTATTATGAATTAGGTCTGTTATAGCAATAGTATTACATGAGCATGTTTATAACAGACCATGAGTCATATCACATGTTACATGAGAAAGATTCTTGGTTATCAGATAGATTGAAGTGTCTTATAATGTAGTTATGTTCATCCAGTATCAATTACTTGCACGTATCATGTAGTAATGTTATGCTGTTTTGAGAATGTGATTGATCTTTAAAGATGGTAGTTAGGAAATGTGGTTGAACTTGGAAGATGCTAATTAGGATCATCACATGATCTGAAATTACTCTTTTTATTACAATCTTTTATATATTCAGTTTGCATAGGTTCAAAAGTATTAATGTTGATGTATTAACAATTTTATGTTTTGAAGCCATTATGGAATATTGTATTATAAAAAAAGGAAAGGCATACATGTGCCAGAATTTCATTAATTATTAATATTTTAAGAAAAAAAGTCACAAAAAAAGTTTTATTTCATACAGCATAAGGTGGTAAGAAGATTAGAAAATTAAAATAATATTTTACTTGTAGGTATACATATAGTAATGTAATTTATTGTGTTAAACCATGACATTTGTGTTAAGATTTTTTGATGAAAAGAAAAGTTTTTAAACAAGGTTATATGTATTTCTATTGTTTATGGAACATTTTTGACAACAAGTGTGATGGGACATCCAACTAAGAGTGTTGTTTTTTGATACTACCTCATGCTTAACTAACATATTTTTTGGGTTTTGTGTATAAAATAGCATGTGTAATTTGCTAATAGGTAAACCAGTCCCAGCAAGGCTTTTCTTGCAGCTATAGAGCTCATCCAACTGGCTGAGTTTCAGCAAACAGTTTTAGTTTAAACAGCATTTGTAATGAGTCATTTACAGGATGTACTTAAGCTGTATCATTTAGTTACTTATTATGTAGTAAGTATCCATGTATTTAAGTCACAAGTGTTATTTGCTTATTAACTTTATACCTGATCATTGTGGTTTAAAACAATTTAATTTTCATAGTTGGGTTACTATTAGGATTAATACATAGGCTGCTTGTATGCATGTACACACTGTAAAGAAATATTCAAGAAATTCCTTATGGTATTTTCTATCGTGTGTCAAGTTCGAATGATAAAGTATTTAATACAATAAGTTGAAGTACTATTTTATCTTATTAAAACCTGGGATAATGATGGCAGAAAATTTTAAGGGGGGGCAATTAATTAAAAAGCTGAAATTGATCTAACTTTTTAATAAAATAGTGATTAAAAGAAATCAAATGTGTTTATAGAAGTTATATTTTTAATTGAATGATATAAAATGAGTTTACTATATATAAAAGCTGAAAAATAATATGTGATCAATATGCCTAGATTTTTTCAGGGGGGAGCTGGGACCAATTGCCCCCCCCCCCACACCTCTGGTTTTGGCTTGTGCCTTCTTTTGGGCAGAGTATTTTACAACAACACAACAGTATAATTTTACAAGCAGTCTTATATTTTAAACATATGGACATACACAAGACAAAGAAATACTATTTGATGTAAACAATATATGATAAAATCTCATCTTACAAAAAATACAATTTATAAAAATAATACACTTACATTTGTTTGTCCATAACTTTTATAGCAAATTTGTTGATCAAATGCAACAAATCTCATATTGTTAGAAAGGCATTTGTCCAAGGAGTATGGATTGCATATTGGCTTTTCCATTCAGAATTACCTTACCTGATTTTTGCTTAATCAAACTTTTTAATACAGTGAGTATGGTACATGATGGCATAATGTTGTTGTCATCACGTGACGACTGGCTTTGATTTTAGCTTTAGTTTTTTTATTTGCAAAGTATTTCACACAAACAACACTTAATCTGCATGTAATTTCCTAAAAAAATGAACATTACACTAATTACAATTTCTATGGACTTTCTCAACTTATTTAGGTCTAAAATATCATGTGCAGTTCATTCAAAACCATATGTTTATCACTTTGTGAACATAAATTCAGATGTTTCTGCATATTCAGCTAAATTTGCCTTTATTATAACTTTACATTTACTTTACTTAGCAATAATGTAGCTTCAGTTTGTTTCACAAACTGCTTTAAACACCTTTTATCTACTTTTTCTTTACAACAGGTTTTATTGTTAATATTTGTATTTTTCTGTTTCAGTTTGTAAAATGGTATCATACACTGAACTCTCATAACTGTTTAATACTCTGTACACTATTATAAGCACCATTGCTTTACTTTATTGTTTACGTGTAGTTTTATTAAAAAAGTTATGTCTGCATGAGTTTGTTTGTCTAACCCTGTAAAATTCTTTCTAATAGTCAAGGATTTATTGATTTAACACATAATTCCTGCAAGAAAGCGTAGCTTTAATATTGTGCATTAAAATGATAGAATAAGGAAAATTCAAGTGAAGGACATGAAAACTATTGCAAATGTTTTGTGGGTCGTAGCTAGTAATAAGATAATAAAGTGCATGTGTATTGGGGAATTAAAGTGATTAGCCTCTGTATTTGTTGATCTATGGTTTCCGTGTTCCTATGGGTAGAGTTTCTTTAAAGTTTTAGTATATATAACTTTTTAGTATAAACAAAAGTTGAACAGAAGAACAGGTGTCTGTTTGGGGTATTCTGTGTTGAGTTTACCAGCATTTTGCTATAGGATCTTTTTAAATTTATCCTAACCTCTCTGAAGTGTTCTTTAAGGTTGTCATGCAAAGGTCATCCAGTTTCTTTAATACATTTTGCAGAGCTCAAGTTACATTCAAATTCATATACCACATTTTATAATGTCACAGTTGCCAATATGTTCAGCTTTTTTTTGGTCATACAGTCAGTATTAATACATTTGTTTGATTGTTCTTGGATGACGATGTGAGTATTTGTTTTATGTGTTTACCCTAATATTGTTGTTAACCTTTACATATATCCTACTGTAGGATTAGCTTAATTTTCATATGCATTGTATTATTGATCATTATTTACTAAAAGCTAAATTTCTCTTGCTGTGTAGTAGATACTCAGTAACATTATTTTACTGAGTAGAATGGTTAATCTTGTTTTATAAAATGATTAAATCCAGACATCTGTAATTTTCATTTTCACCTTCTAAGCTATCACATATAGTTCATGATTACTTAAAGCAGTTTGAGCTTAATTTTCAAAGTATATATTGTAAAAGACATAGAAGAACTTTACTTAATTTTTGATTTTAGATATCATCACACTTAGTTACTTTTTAAAGAATACACACTTCTAAAACCTTTTTTGTTTATAGGCTGATAGGAAAAATTAAGAAAATGAAATAAGATTTAGTGATACTGGATATATTTGTTGAAGTTCTGTGCTTCAATTCAACTGTTCAGCTGTTTATTTCTTAACTTATGAAAAGTGTTTGGACATTATCTCTCTATCTACATGTAAAGTGATCGCTGCACTTTATTGTTATCAGTATTGATAAGAGCAGTTGTGTATAAAACATGAGAGAGAAATAGTAAAACCCCCAGTGTGTAACATAATTACAAAATGTTATATCGTATTTGACATTAAAAAATGCCTG